TCTGAAACAGATAGTTTGTGTATTTTATTATTAAGGAAAACAGGAAAAACACCATACACAAATGAAACACAAAATGCTATCTTACTAATTTTTAGTCAATATAGATTACATTTCAGTTTACTTTTAGCTGTGCTTGTTGATGTAAGTCCAAGTATATGATCCTAAGGAAAATCTTGCTTATTACTGCTGCCTTTTAACATCCCACTTCATGTGATGGATGACAGAGTTTTGGAGGATCTAGCAGAATTCTGCTCTCAACTTACTCAATGAGAGTTTGAATTCCTGAACTACAGTATCACACTCTCCTGCTTCTTCTCTCCAGATGAAGTAATTTGGAATTTTGTGATCTGAAGTAGGATTTGTAGGTGTTCTCTCTATTTTCATGTCTTTCACATAACAGTACTACCCATAGGTTTATAGCCTTTTGTAATATTAAAGGAATGAATTTGATCCGAGTCTAACACAAAGAGGTTTTATTTAATCTAGGTTGAGTGAGTTGTAAGATTTAGTTCTAAGAGATGTTATTTCCAATTGGAATAGTCCATAACTTGACTTCAAATTTGCCATTTCTCTACATTTATGATCTTCCAAGCCATTATTGCAAATCCTCAGTTTTTGTCATGTGTGGCACAGAGAGCTGGCTATCATGCAGATTGCTAACCTTGTTCTTGCATGCTTCTTGTCTAGCAGCAATTTGTATGGAGTTCCTTATTTACTTGTTCCTTAGAATTTCTTAGTGTTTAAATAATATTAAAAAAGAAAAAAAAAAAAGGAGGGGAGGGCAGATATAAAAGAAAGCACAACACAGCACACTCCATTATATAGCAAGGCATTTGAAACTGTCCCACATGACAGCCTGGTCTGTAAGTTGACAAGACAGGGATTTGACAGATGGGCCACTAGGTGGATAAGTAATTGGCTAGATGGCTGCACCCAGAGAGTTGTGGTCAATGGTTCAGTGTCCAAGTGGAGGCAGGTGATGAGTGGTGTCCCTCGGGTCAGTACTGGAACCAGTGCTGTTTAACATCTTGTTGGAGGCATGGACAGTGGGGTTGAGTGTATCCTCAAGTTTCGTGCCCATACCAAGCTGTGTGGTTGACACCCAAGAGGGCAGGGATGCCATCCAGAGGGACGTTGAACAGTCTTGAGAGGTGGGCCAATGCCAAACTCAGGAAGTTCAACAAGGCCAAGTGCAAGGTCCCGCACCTGGGTCAGCACAACCCCAGGCACAAATACAAGCTGGGCAGAGACTGGCTAGAGAGCAGTCCTGAGGAGAAGGACTTGGGGGTGGTAGTAGATGAGAAGCTCGATATGAGCTGCCAGTGTGCACTTACAGTCTGGAGAGCCAGTTGTGTCCTGGACTGCATCAAAAGAAGTGTGTCCAGCAGGGCCAGAAGGGTGATTCTGTATTCTGCTCTAGTGAGACCACACGTGGCATACTGTGTACAGTTCTGGAGCCCTTAGCACAGGAAAGAGATGGAGCAGTTGGAAAGGGTCCAGGGAAGGGCCACAAAAATGATCAAATGTCTGGAGCAGCTCTGCTATGGAGACAGGCTGAGGGAATTTGGGCTATTCAGCCTGGAGAACAGAAGGCTCTTAGAGCAGCCTTCCAGTGCCTGAAGGGGGCCTACAGGAAAGCTGGGGAGGGGCTTTTCACCGGCAAGGGCACTGATAGGACAAGGGTTAATGGTTTAATCTGAGAGACAGTAGATTTAGGTTAGACATCAGGAAGAAATTCTTCACCATGAGGGTAGTAGGGTGCTGGCACAGGTTGCCCAGGGAGGTGGTTGATGCCTGACAGTAGTGTCTTCAAAGCAGTGTTTTAACAGACTACAATTACTGCAGAGCAATATAAAAAATGAGGCAAAAGCAAAATAATGAGTAGTTGCTGATTAAGAATAATGCCAACCTTGTTTGGAATTAGTTGGGATTCAGGAGGGTTTATATTACATTTAATTACAGACTTAATAAAATGCATACATGCAAGATGAAACATGTAATTTTCCTAGGCAACCTTAACTTCAGTACTTCCAGTTTTCTGGAAGTTTGTATTTTTTCACCTTTCCTCCCTCCTCTCCCCGTTGTGTTGTGAATATTATTTTGTGTCTGACAGTTACAAACATTCACAGAAGCAGATAAAGCAGCATAATTATTTTTTTCTTTTCAGTTAGAAAATGTTTCTATCCAAATCAATAAATTGGTACCTAGTTCTTGTTGTGTAGTTATTCGCTGCCAAAAATACAGCATGATTGCTGTCTTTTCTCAGGTTATTCTTTTCTTTTATGATTTTATATGCTATTACTATAGTGTATATAGAAAAATAGGATTGCTCAATTTGAGAATTAATGGGTATTAATGCAGGCTGTACAATCAAAAGCAAAGTATAATTTCTTCATCTTACTTCCTTTTCAAAAATAGGCACCACTCATATTTCACTCTTTGTTAGCCTATGAATCCTGGAATTTGAATGTGAAATGATTTGTATAGACATCTCGTATCTTGATTTAAGAAAAATATTTTGAAACATAACATCACTTTTTAAAGGGCATAATTCAGCTGTTGTAATGTACTGGTTTTGGCTGAGAGAGTTTTTCTTCATACTAGGTGGTATGGGGCTGTATTTTGGATTTCTGCTGGAAACGCTGTTGCTAACACAGGGATGTGTTCATTACTGCTGAGCAGTACTTACACAGAGTCAAGACTTTTTTTGCTCCTTGCATTGTCCCACCAGTGAATAGTCTGGGGGTGCACAAAAAGTTGGGAGGGGACACAGCTGGGACAGCTGCCCCAGCTGACCAAAGGAATATTCCATACCATATGAAATTATGCTCAGCAATAAAAGTTGGGGGAAAAAGGAGAAAAGGGGACACACTCAGTGATGGTGTTTGTCTTCCCAAGTAACTATTAGGTGTGATTTTTTTTTTTTAATTATTTTTTTTTTCAGTGATGTCCAGTGATAGGACAAGGGGCAATGGGTGCAAACTGGGGCATATTCCATGTAAATATCAGAAAAAAACATTCCTTACTGTGAGAGTGACAGAGCACTGGCACAGGCTGCCCAGAGAGGTTGTGGAGTCTCCTCCTCTATTGACTTTCAAAACCTGCCTGGATGCGTTCCTGTGTGATGTGCTCTGGGTGATCCTGCACTGGCTGGGGGGTTGGACTCGATCTTTCAAGGTCTCTTCCAACCCCTGTGATTCTGTGATAGAGCCCTGCATTCCTGAAGGTGGCTGAACACCCATCAGCTAATGGGAAGAAGTTAATTAATTCCTTGTTTTGTTTTGCTTGCATATGGCTTTTGCTTTGCCTGTTGAACTGTCTGTATCTCAACCCATGTGTTTTCTCACATTTACCCTTCTGATTCTCACTCCCATCCCACTGAGGTGGAGGTGTGACACAGTTGTGTGGGGTTGAGCTGCATGCTGGGACTAAACCGTGACACATAATTTGAATACAGATAGCAACTTTGTTATCAAAAAGCAATCCTCGGCTTTATGTAGTCAGTTACAAATTTTGCTAAACATTATATGGACTGTTAGAGAGTCTGTAGATTTTTCTCGGTGCCCCATTACTTGAACAAGTGTATTTTATTTTATAGATAGCCTTAGCAGTGACTTCTGTTATTCCATATTTTTCTCTGCTTTGACATGTGAAGTCATGATTCCCAACACTATGTTCATTGCAAATGTGTCATAGTGTGGAAAGCTATATCCTTGTTATGTTTGGGAAATTATATCAGCTGAATTACATTTTATACAATGTAATTATTTTTTTTGTCTTAAAAAAAAAATAATCAACATTTTCACAATCTTGCTTCAGATGTGGATGCAGTGGTGTTAATAATTTATCTGCCATAGTTTGATAATTGTTTTTGAAAGGGAATAGCTATAGTGGCTACACGGTGTTTAGGTAAGTATGTTTAATTCAGTGTCCTCTTCCACCTTCAGCTATAGCAGTTGGCAACACGGTTACACAGATGTTTATGACTACCCAGCAAATGGAGGTTACTTGTTTCACAATTCAGCCAACACAGCAGAAATAGGAGTTTTCACTGTTCTCGTACACGCGTCAGCAATGGCTCCAAGACATTTAATCAGCAATTAAGTTAAATTTGCTAATATTGCACTTAAGTGTATCAATATAAATTTCACTGGCTGTACAGTGAAGAATTATGATCTGTCAGGAATATGACAACAAGTATCCAGGGACAAAAATATTTCATTTCCTTTAGTGTGCAAAATTATCTCCTCTTAAGTATCAGGTTTCATTGTTTTTCCTGTAAGAATTGAGCTGAAGCCTTATGCGTCTTTTCTATGCTTATATTTTATTGAATGCTGAATCATTTGGTTTACTTGTTCTATTCAGGCTTTTATGAAGGCCTTTTTCCTATTTCTGTTCAGATAAATTAAAACAAACAAAAATAAACCTCAGCATTTTGAAGTTCTTTTCAGCAGTAACAAGCTCTTAGTAATGATGAGTAGCTTCAGATTAAAAAAAACCCCACCTTTTTCTTTCTTTCTATAGGATAGTTTCCTATGTATTTTAATTGCTGGGAAAAGCAAGGACAGTTTATTAAAAACATTACAATTATACAATATTTTTTCTAATATTTCACTACATAAAAATAATAGATTGCTTTGACAAATGTTGTATGTATTTTTAGATAGAATTAACTAATTGTTTTACTTAGCAGTTGTAATTCAAGATCTAGCTTCACCTCTACAGTAAAGGAATACTTGTGTTCTAAATTTGTATCCTCACATTTGGTCTAACCAAAGAATAACGCTTGCAATTCACCATTAGGCTGCACAGTTTAATGCCTCAATCCCAGGTGAAGTAAATCCCCCTGTAAATCCAGCTCCTGTCCAAGATCATCAGGAAAGCTGGGGACAGTAGAGCAGCACTACTAATTTCTGTATATTAGCTACTGTGTTCTTTTTACCTTGTTCTGGATAAGGTTATTTCCTAAAGTGAACATGTATATGTATTATTGATTGTAGGATGGAATGGGAAATTTGAGAGTCACTAAAAAAGGAATACGACTTGAAGGAGTATCTGAATTTCTGCTTCCACTATACGTGAAAGAAATCCATTCCCGAAAGGTAGGTGGTTTTAATTTTTTTCTTAATTTGCAGATAACATAAATTAATCTCTTACACCTCTTAAATTAGAATGCAGTAGAAGTTTTCTCTGAGCATACTTTAACAGGGGAATCTTTCTTCATGTGAAAAACCTTCCTTGGGTCCTAAAGAAAGATAATTCAAAGCATGTATATTTTGTACTTCAAATTACCTCACCATTGCAAATGGAATATTTGACTCTTCATTTTATGTGAACTCCAGAAAAACAAGACTAGTGATATGTGCAAAAAGCAGTGAAGTAAAGAATGGTTTTGTGTATGCTTAAGTTCCTTCTGGTATTTAGCTAATGTGATTCTCTCACTCTTTCTCTTTTTCTCTCCTGTAAAGGAACAGGATGCCAACTCTGTCAGTAGGCTAACACAAGGCCATACTAGTCCTGTGAGCCTCATGAAAAACAGATCTGTCCATAACTCCCCTAAACTTGCAGAAGAATAGAGCGAGAGTTGGTCATTAGCTGAACACAGTATTTCAACCAAACTGCTTTTAGTGTTGCAGGCCTACCTGTATCTATTAACATTAAATTTGTTAAATTATGTTACCTAGCTAAAATATGGTATTTGTGTAGACTTGGTTCTTGTCTTGTTCACAGTACCTGTGAACTAGGTTCACGTTCCAGTCTTTTGCCAGCTTGCTCAGTAGCAGTTGTGTCAAAGTTCCCATCACTTTTGGTGTATACAAATGTGAGTGTCATGAGGCAATGATGAAAAAAATCCTCTGGACTTGTATTAAGCTTTACAGTAAGGATCTGCGATGTCACCGCATGGTTGTTCCCCAAGCATGTAGTGTCTTCATGTGACACCATCTGTTTTCTCACTTACACAATTGACCTGAGTGCTCTAGATCCAGGTTTTTTTGAGCTTTCATTATAGTCAGTAGAGACCTAATCAATACTGACAATGGATTCTAAAGACCTAACCTGCTCACCAGCCATTCGTTTTTAGATGATACAGAGGGGAATGCTTTTTCCCCAGCTTTTTCACAGAAGCAGAAGTTATTTAAGTTTGATGTACATAGGAGTTAAAATGTACTGCATAATTGCAAACTCATTTGAAGCTGTATCTTTGCAGTGCTTTACATGCATATGTTGCTTATTTATCTAAAAGAACAATTTACTCTTCAAGCAAATGTAGTCATTCGTTTCTACAAAGAATACAGATACAAAAGTGGCATTGTTTGATTAACTCTTGAGATGACTTGTAACATATTCAATATAACTTTTTGGGACGGGTGTATTTCCTCTGCATTGGTGTCCTGGTTAGGAGAATGACCACTGGAGAATCTCCATGTAGGGCCCTCAGCCCTGAAGGTCAGGGCTTAAACTGGTTTCCCATTTCTCAGTACAAAGCAGTTTGGTGGGAAGACTGATGGTATTAGCAGCAGGGTACAGCAGCAGGTGTGCTTTATTATGGCTTAGGGGAAGGAGTGGAGTTTTTATGCATGTGCTGGAGCTATCTTTTAGTTAACTAGATAAAGAGCTGATAAAGCATGTTTCTTGATAGCAGAGGGTAAACCTCTGATTCTGATAGTGAACTACTATTGATAAAAGCCCCTGCCACTCTCTTGAATATCTAGGCCTTGATCAGGAGAGATGTATTGAACTTTGGATATAGGATGTAATTATTTTGTGAATTGTTCATTAAAATCCTAAATATTAAAAACAAATACCAAACTAATTTAAGTCAGTTGGAGAACAAATACGCATTAATTCTTCAAAACAAACAAAAAATTCTAGTGGTATTTTTCCCTGCCACTACACAATTTTCTGTCAAAAAGTAATAATGAAAAATACAGGTCTTGGGTAAATTGGATATTCATTCATGTTTCATCTATAGAAATTGTGTATATGAGAAGGCTGCTCAGAGGGTGCCTTTTCCCTACTTTTGTTTCTCTTGCTTTGGTCTTTCTACTCTGTTCAGTTTGTGGTGTCTGCAAAACCATAGGTTCCTGCCCAAAATCTCATGTTCACACAAAAAAGACACTTGTCTATTTTCATCAAATGACATAACTGCTTGTCAGAACTTGAACTAATACATCAGAACCTGAACAGATAAGGGCTCATTTGATCCTGATTTGACATCTTTGTATCCCTGAAACAGGGGTAGACGTAGTCTATGAGTTGACTTTTACTGAGAATTTCATATTTACTATGGCTGGTCTAGTTGCATACTTTTGATAAAATTACTAGTCTGAAATCAGTAAGTTCAATCTAGATGACATTTTATTTTCTATGTTTATATAATTTCCATGTTTATATGATTTCCATTGATATAATTCAAAGAAAAAATGCAAACAACATTCTTTGTATTGTATCAATAATAAGATGTATGAAATCAAATAACACAGTGCAATAAGCTAAATTATTACAATAGTTTAATTTTTCTGAATTAAATTTCTTCATAATCTTACAATTGCATCCATACTACTGCATTTGTAAAAGGAAACAATAAAGGTACGGTTTTATAGCAATAGAAGCAGTACATAGTGTTTTCTTGAGAATGAATTCTTGGCTTCATCACTCTTTTTCATTTGCACATACAGTAATTAAGTGCTAAAGAAAATCAAATTTTCTCTTTGTTAAATTGTTTCCATTCCAGGTAAAATAAGTAATTAATAAGTAATTAATCGTCCCTTAAACTAAGGGGGATAGCTTTCTTTTTCTGTACAACTAACAAGGTTAAAAGTGTATTCTCTGAACTCAGGTATCATGTCTTTCCAAGAGCTATCCTTAGTTCTCTAAGGATATCTCATAAGGATATCTCATGAAATTCAATGATTTAGTTAAGTCATGAGAAAAAGGTCTAGAAAACAAAAAACACTGAATGCATATAAACTTCTGACTGAACACAGGAAACTCTAAAAACTCACTGTATATATACATATATATATAATTTTTTTTTTAAAAACATAGTTATATGAAAACTAAATAATTAGAGGTAGATTTCAAAGCAAAACTTTCTTTGGGTGTTCCATTTCTGCAGATTTTCACTCTAGGGACTGAATATTCTTATAAATTTTTAGAGTTTTATTTTTGTTTTGTTTCCAAAACTGAATCAATCTTGACAGAAGCAATTTTACATATTCATTTCTTCACTGTCTCTCCAAGTTTGTGTAATCATCAACATAAAATTAAACTTTCTCAATTCCAGCTGCACATTGCACATAATCAGGTTTGATCTGGGGCCTTAGATGCCTTTGAGAGAACTCTAAGAACTGAAAGAATGCCTTTTTTTTTTTTTTTTTTTTTGAGCTTCTCTCTCTGATAATGTTATCAGGAAGAAGTATAAGAGATCACATCAAAATCACTGCTCTTGTCCATTGATCTAGTCCTTTCATTATACAAGACCACTAAATAAGGTCCTGCTTACTAACCCAATGTTTTCCTATTGCTTTCTTTCCTTTCATCTATTTTGGAGGGATTTTCAAGGGAATCTGAATCTATAATCTTCTTAGGAAATGAAACTGTAGTTTCCGAAGTCTTCCCTGCTTGCATGATGTTCACAATCTCTTGTAAGATCCTGCAAGTATGTCATATTAGTTGATTTTGAGTTGGGGGGAGAAGGAGTATATTCCCCCACCATTCCCTGAAACATATTCTAAAATTCAAGGCCAAGTTGTTTGCTGTATTTATTCTTATCTGCTCTAGTTTGAGAAACCTCTGGTCCTACCACTACTGACATATGTAGATGCTTGAGGAACTCCAGTTAGGAGATGTCATTGCTCATGTTTGTGTACTATCAAAAAAATCAGAAAGGCATCTTAAGATCTGCAGCATTTATTGCTCAAGGTGAAGTACAGTGCTTATTTCTTACAGCTACATGTCTCAGTCCTCTCAGATAAAATGCTCCCTAGTTAATTTTTTTTTATATCTACTCTCCAGCCTTACCCTTGGGATCACTCACCTGTCAGTGACAAAGAAGTCATGATTTTGCCATAAAGGACTCCTTAGGTAATTTTGGCTCTTAACATGATGTAGTTCCAATGTACTGAAAGCCTAGTGTCAGTTTATTGGCTATGAACAAGATATCAGGTTTTCTTAATCACAGGCTTTGCCAAAAGACAAGTCACTCATAATTGTTGGTGATCTCTGTAGGGATTGCCACTCTGAAATTAAGTTGGCTATGTTCACTCTTCACTGACAACTGATAAGAACTTTTATGATTCGTGTTTTTGCCCTTGATTTGTTATACTCCCTTGAAACCTGTCTGGGGCTCATTCGACTGAACAGATCTATCTTTTGAACTAATTTTTTCATGTCAGCCTGTACTCCTTGTATTATTACTTTGACTTTTTTGTAAAGTAAGGATCTCTGCTTTTTATACTGAAAACTCTGGGTTAATGTTACCCAAGCTTTTTACTTGGGTTGATTACAGCTCATGAATAAAGTTATGAGTGGCCTATATCCACCCAGTTTTATACCAGGAAATAAAGTTGATCTGGGAACACTTATTCAAAAGGATGTAGGAAAGTTAATGAAGTAGCAGCTGTTTTTCTGGGGTTTGTTGATGTTTTCAGTATTAATTTAATTTTCAGTTTTCCAAGTACTTCGTTCATCTGTGTTCTACTGGGGCAAATGTCAATGAAGCCATGTGATATTTCAGTTTGACATTTATCATATCTTGTGTTGGATCCTAATACTCATTCAAAGTGAATTTGGTTTGAGCTATTGTAACTGTATTGGCATCCTAAGCTGAGGAATAATATTATTTTTTTCCTGAGCAACTTTGAAATAGTATAGTTGAAATTTACAGAGACTAAGCAACTACTTAAATAAGTCCTGTATGTTTACAATGAAGAAAAAACTCTCATTAATGGTCTTCATGAAAAATCTGATCCAAAGCAGGAGTGTAAAAACAGATGAGTTCTAAAAGACTTGAAAAAAAATAATAAAAAAAATCTGTCTTCCTTTATCTGTTTAATCTAGAAATTTACTCACATTTCTTCATGGAGAACAAAATTTATCC